CTTTCTGTAGTAAAACAGTAAGATATGTCGAAAATGCTGCTTATCGCTCTCCATATTTAAAAGGGCACCAACCAAAAACTACTGCGTAGAATTAATTGGAATTTTTCACACAAGCCTTGCTATATGAGCTCTCAAAGCATATAAAAATTATACGGCTTAAATGTGAAGTTGGGTGCAAAAGAATACAATTAAATCCTCTGTCAGGAAAAAACGAAATGACTTTCCGAACAACCCTATAATTTTGTTTTCAGCCTTTTTCATTTGTTTTAGTAATTCGTTCTTAAATTTTATTTTTCTCTTTTGTTTTTATCACTTGTTTAATACGTACCTTTTTTTCAGGTGGTGGTCAAATCTACAGAAAAAACAAAAACCAAAAGACAAAAGAAACGATTTATTAATCATAATAAGGTAAACTAAAAAACATTTTTATTCATGCTAATAATATTACACTTAGTAGGTATTATTATTATTATTATTTATTTAACGTGAAAACTTCAATGAAACTTTTTTTCTTCGAACAATATTTTTCCTTCCCGTTATTCCTTATTGACAACTTCTTCCAATAATTCCACCTTGTCGACGACGTCCTTGCTGTTATCTTCTTCATTCAGCGAAACGATGTCCGTTATTTGTAAGTTTGCGATTTGTTTGTTTTCTTCTTCTTGCTTTTTATTGTCGTTCTTGGCGGAAGTGTCCATGTTCTGGACGACCGTTTCTTCGATGTCGATCCCCGCGTCGCGTGTGCCATCTTCGCATTCTTCGTTCAGCACATGTTCGTCTTCTTGGTTGTCGCTGGTTGGTTTTTCTTCCATAATGGTACCGTCTTGGTCTCGTTCGTCAATCTCCAGAATGCCACCCTCGTCGTCGTCGTCGTCATCGTCATCTGACACGGTCCTTTCTTCCACTTCCACTATTATGTCCGGGTCTTCGTCTTGGAGACCTTTCTCTTTCGCCGTTTCCTCGGCTTGAGACGTTATCACGAAGGGAACTATGGTCTTTTCCCTGGACGTTTCGACATTGTTTGTCATCAGCATCACACGGTCTGCTTCGATTCCAGTGATGAGAACGTCTTCGTTGTTTTCGGCCGTTCGGACGATACGTCTTATGGTCCTGGGGGGCGGTGTCGGCGATCTTGCTTGCACCTCCGGTTCAAAATCTTCATCGATGGGTTCTGACTTGATACTGGTCGTGTCTATTAGGGGATCCGACTCCACCGGCGTCTCGAAATTGTGATAGTACCTCGGGATCTTCACGTTGGGACGCGATCTCGTTCCCCTTCTCATTCGAAGGGGTATGTGGGACTAAATACAAAAAAGAGGAGAGCAATATAACAACAATTAACAATAATTCAAGGTGTCTCGTCATACCTCATCAATCTCAGGTCCTTTTCGTTTCCTTAGTTTCTTCCCAATGGTCCGTTTGGGAATGGTCTTGATATGTTCCCGTTGTTTGACGACTGCCGGTAGTTCTTCTTGCCGTCGCGTCTCTTCCTGGTACGTGGGTTCGAGGAGGGCCAGGGGATCGGTAATGGGTAACTGCTCGAGGGGTAACACGGCCGGTTTTACGTACGCTGGGGTGGTTGTCGTTCGTCTGTTGTCTTCGTCGGTGACCCGTTTCACGATCAAAGGCTTCGGCACGGGCTTCACCTGGGGTTCGAGGACGGGTGGGTGCGATGGTCGCGACGTTTTTTCGAAAAGTTTTGGAATTTCGGAAACCGTTTTGTGGGCAGTCGTGTTTTGGGTTGTCGATTTGCCGGCCAAACCTTTTATCTAAATCGAAATAAAAAATACAAGACGTAAAAACAACACAAAACACATCATGTAGTAAACAGCCAATAAAGAAAGCGATAACTGGTATTGGTTCTACCCTTACTACTACACTAAATAGTGAAGAAAAAGTAGGGACATCGAACGCTGTTATTCGTCGGTTATAAAAAATTGAAAAAGGAGTAGGAGATTTATCTGCTAGTGGATTCAGAAAAAGGGGAAAAACACATAAGTTGCAATGTTCGCACTACTGGAGAAGTAGGGGGACCGTCGAACGCTATTATTCGTCGGTAATAAAAATCGATGATGACGTAGGAGATACATGATCTGGTTTTGGGTAATCGTGGATTGAGAAAAAGGAGAGAAATACATAACTGACCAACTCGAACTGCAATGCAATTGGTTTCGTTCGTACATAAAAACAAAACAGCAACTAACCAATGTCGTAAAGGATTTTTAAATAAACTTCTGCTATTGGTTTAGTTCATGTAAACAAATCCCTCCAACGAACCAATATTCTAACAGATTTAAAGAATCTTCGAAGAATTTTATTGGTTCAGACATGAACTATTTTTACTATGATCGATGACAATTTAGACAATATTAATACGTAAAATTAAGCGAATTAAATTAGTGAATTAACTTTACCTATTACAGCTAACCTCAAATTAATTAAAAAAAATTGTTTCTGCTGCCACTTCCTCGTCGGGAATCGAACCCGACAGTAGCAACAATTTTTCCTTATAAATTTGAGGTTATCTTCGTAGGTAAAATTAATGTGTCCCAAACAAACTCACCTTTAGAATTTCTGCAGCTTCTAATAACTCTTGCAATTTCGTTTGCACTATGTTGACTTCCCCGACGTACATAAATTCAGTTAGAGATTTCAGGACCCAATAGGGGATGTCTTTTAAAAATATGACAGGATGTTGATGGTGGTCTATACTTTCCAAAATTTTTTCGAAATAGGAACTACAAGACGACAATATCACCTAAAAGCAAATAACAACTTAATAAAAATAAAAAAAACTCAAGACAAGAAACATACCCTGTGACATTTAATCATTTGACCCTCCGCTACGAGGGTGACATCGACGAATTGTTCCCTCTTTAGTAAATATGGGAACGAAGTTTGCATATTGTTATGATGGCTGTTCCATCTAAGACAAACTTCTTCGGAGGCGGGCGGTATGGTGATGTTTTCCGTGGGTTTGGGAGCGATCGGTTGGAACTTGGGGGTTTTCGCGGTTGCTTGTCGGGTGACTTTTAGTTTGGTGGGTGACAGCGGCTGGCTGTGCAACTGCTGTTCTACGGGGTTTGTTGGCGTCATACTTGAACTTGTTGACGCTATCCTCTGAGTCAACGGTACAGAGTCTAAAAATCGATAGAACGTGATAAATCTAGGATATTTGGTAGATTTCAGAAATAAAACAGGTAATAAAAATCTAACTGTGGCCGTGTAAGCCTGCGATAGATGTAAATAACTACCTAAGCTACTGCTATCGTTATTGAATTCGTAGTCTTGGAGCATCACATTCTCGATTTGATACGCGAATTTCTTATTCGATTTCTTCGAGTTTTTCGAGTGTTTCTTCTTTTTGTCTTTCTTTTTTATGATAGACACGGCTGGTGTGGTGTCTTTTGCGAAAATGGTGTCTCTCAAACGACGCCAGCGTCGCACGTTCGACTCCGGTATTCCATATTTTCGCTGAGCTTCCCTTGTGCTTTGCTGTTCGGCGTACAGTATCACCTTTTGCTTAAATTCGCGATCGTACGTGTTGAAACGGGGTATTTTTATGTTTTTCGATTTCATTTTTTCGAATTACTCATAGGAAACCTGTTATTTTTTTGATCAGTAAGAAAAACTAATACGATGCTGATGGTGGGAGTGTCTTAATTGGCCATTTCGTTTTATATTTTTAGCATCTGCTCAAGACAAATGAAAAAAAGACAAAAAATTTTTACCATATTGCAGGATTCGAACTCGCGCACTTCGGCGTGGCAGACCAACGCTCTAACCATTGGACTATTTACGAAATTGCTAATTATTTTGCACAGTCAGTTGCTGGGTGCGTAAAACCTCGGAGAAAACGAATTTTCTTAGAAATTATGCCTAGCTAGATCGATTTCTTGCTACATAATAATTAATATACATTTTTTTTTTGTGGTTTCCCTATTATAGTTGTTAGGAATGTTGCAGATGCGTGCGGATACCGTTGTAGAAATTTTAATAAGGACAATAACATACATATGTATTTTCGACAACAATTTTCGTAAAAGTAATTAAAATACATTAGATCTTTTTTGTCAATTTTATTAAGATTATATTAGGTACTCAATGGTCAAACTTCGGAAATAATAACGTTATTAATCCTTACCTGATCCGTCAGTTTTCATTTGAGATTGATGATCGCTATCAGAGCTTAGAAATACCGAATACTGTTCTGGGTGCATGGATTTTAAATGACTTTTCAAAGATGTAGTCGTTCTTCCTTTGCGAGAATAATTCTTCTTGCAAACATTACACTGAGCTCTATCCCGGTCTTCGCTGTCCAGTTTAAAATAAGTCCAGATTGCACTTTGAGTTGACAGCGGCATTATTGATAAATAATTACTGCCGTGTTTTGCGACAATTTATTTATTTACTATTGTGCACAAAAGATCTGTATGCTGTAAGTCAAATGACAAAATGTAGGGCGACCGGACAAAGTAACACCTGATGATTCGTCAGCCAAAGAAGTCGAATACGCGTCGGTCCCCTTCCTCTATGTGGCTTGCGTCACATCCGCATCGGCTTCGCAACAATTATTGATAATGACGGATGCAGAACAGACGTGCGATGCAGATGTTAAAAATAATCCGCGAATGCATGCCGATGCGAACGCAAACTTCTGCAACATCCCTAAATACGTAATTTTACCTTCCTACCTAAGCGAAAAATCTAGATAATATTGATTGTATTTCATAAATTTATATTTGGTTTTCAAAAATTGTTTAGGATAGTCGTGGCCTACAGTCCTTCCGCAAACTTTATCAAATAAAAAAGAAAATTGGTACCTTTATTATAAGATCACTCACATACGTCTATCCGCCCGTCACAGAAATTAATTTTACAATTTTATAATTTTATTATTTTATAAATGTCAATTGCATCACTGGACTTACCACTAGTGTTAAAATCTTGACGAACCTATCTAACCAATTACGTGACCTCTTAAAGTCAACAATATTCAAATTTTAAGCAATTTCGAAAGCCCGTTCCTGTATTAAGGGTCCAGCTATTGGAACACTTTTTTCCCTAGCTTTACGAAACCAATCTGAAACTGATTGATTTATATCGAATTCTTCTGTTTTTTGAAATTTCCGTTTAGGATCTCCACCGGGTTTTCCTTGTGCGAATTTCTTTTTAAGTTCCATTTTGTTTTTTAGAATTGCGTTCACTTGCGTTCTGCCAACGCCAAAAATGTTTGCTAACTTTCGAGCACTTATACGACGTTTTTCACTTTCGTGGATGATTTCCAGTTTTTCTCTAATAGACAAGCGGCGTCTAGCTTGTTTTGCAGACATGCCTTTTACTGGTCTGAAACTGCCAATTGATTGGCAATCATGTTGGAGATCAAATATAGTATTCTCTGAAATGGTTGGGTTTGTGACCGCTATTAATGCCGTAAGAATTGACCGTGGCCGCTATATAAGAAAGGTATTGGTTTACAGCAGGGCCGGCTTTTGATTTCTTAAACAGGGTGCAGAATACTGGAGGTAGTCAGAAAAAAATCGTTAACATGATTCATCTCATTTTGGACACATTTGCTGGGTTACGTAATCGTTTTTATGGTAACTAGCCCGCGTTAGCAGAGATACGGCGGCCATGTGTCTAACTCTTCACCTGGACATATTTATAGCTATTAGGGCCATTATAAGAACTTTGATATAAATTAACATCAAACTTTACATGACTTTCTTGAAACTGACAGTTTTACTACCCATTTTAATTAATAAATATTCGGAAATATTTTCAAATAACTACTGATGATTTTTTGAAAATATTACGCTCACTAACCATGATTTTTCAAGTATTAATAGTTAATATGTGATAACAAACAGACTCGTGTGAGTGATCTTATTATAAAGATTAGAAATCCTACAGAACAAAAAAAGTATCGGTCACGTTTTGGTATCGAACCCGGTCGATAACTATTTTATACATTTTTCAGTTTCTGCTTAAAATTCTTATTTCTGTCTCGCACTTGCGACT